TTCAGGGCCAGCAGATCCTTCAACAGCCTCCCAGATGCTCCTGGGATTTATTTGCTGCCATGTACCTTCTTCCCTCCCCCCACCCATAGAAAAAGTCTGGAAAAAACAAACCGCAAGCCAAGCTGTCTGTGCAACTTGGATAAGGAAGCATTTCAATCCCCAACAATTACGTGAGATATGTTCACTCAACATGTGAATGTCTCCTGCAATACTCACAGAAGTGTCTCATGCTAGCAGGCCACGTTCCCTGGCAGTAGTTTAACTGTGGATGGTAGGTACAGCCCCATTCTACGACTGGGAGGAAGCAACAGGCTCTGCTACCTGGTACTGCTGTGAAAAGATGGAAGGAACAGAGGCTTGGCCCAATTTCTGCAACAGGGCTTTCAATTCTGGGACACTCACGGAACAGCTCAAACCATGTATTGTTAGGGTTTGGTTTAGCCCTGTTGCGAGTGTGACAAAACCAGTGCAACATTGTCCAGAAAAGCATTTGCACTACTAAAAAAGCTAAGCTGTCTGGAGCTCCAGCAATTATGTGATTGGGAAGTGGGGCTCAAGGGGAAGGGGGAACCAGCATGCCAGTCTGTACAATGCGTGCTTAAGTCAATGCCAACAATCTCTCACTTCCATAGGCAAAATGTTTACTTACATTTTTTAAGTCATTTGATTAAAACAGGAAAAAAATAAAAAAAAAGGAGTTGTGTGGCTCAGTAGTCATCACTTATAATTCTGTATTCCATGATAAATAAAACACAAATGATCTTTTACTATTTATCACAACCCATACTTAACCCTTTGCCTTAAAATGCTGTCTGTTGATTTCAGCCACCCCCTCATAAAATATCAACTAATTGTGTCAAATTCCCTTCCATGATCTTCATTTGATGGCAAAATAACAGAGGTACCATAATCCATTTGCTATCATTCTTCTCCTGCTAATGTTTTATTCAAACTGAGCTTCATTAATAAAGATGAAACTTTGGACTCATGATTGCTCCATGTTTACAAAACATACAGGCTCCTTTACATCTTGGTTAAGCATGAACAATCACTGAACACACAATTTCCTAAAAAAATCCCGCATACCAAAATTGCATATTTTGAATTTTTAAAATTCACTAAACAAAATTTCACAGAGTGAACCCTACAGTCTGTTTGCCAGCAAAGCACAAGCCAACAATGAAGTTGGGACCATCCAGAAAAAAAAAACTGAAAAAGTTTACTGGGCCCCAACACACATATCCTTCTCATTAAACAAGCAAATAAATACACATTCATACAGAGTAATGTGCTACAAAAATGCAGGTGCTTAAATAATTACCCACATATTTCAGCATAAGTTTTGGTTGCTCAAACAGTATCATGTCACAGTAAGTTTCCGTCTTTCTTTTTGGTAGAATTGGGCAGTGATTTCTTACTGGACACCCGAGAACAAAACTAACCTGGAACCTGATGATTTTGATACAAGCCTAAATGAGTTTCTCCACAGAGGAACAATCAGAGAACAAAAACTAACCCGGAACTTGATGATTTTGATACAAGTCTAAATGAGTTTCTCCACAGAGGAACAATTACAAAGAAATGGCTGTTTTCTAAAAATAATGATAAAAAAAAATGCAGTAACACTTTTTAATGTCAGGTATTGAACCAAGGAATGGGACAGATTGCACTGCATTTTTAAAGTAGTATGATTATCGACATACTTAAGAAACATTTTAACACTGTACACTACGACAAACTATTTAGTTTACTTCTACACAAGTCAGCAAAAAAGCTAGGTGAGCTAACATGATATGGCAGCTGCAAATTTAAAATGATAGTCAGTCTAAAGCCAGAACAAAAACTTCTCCAGAACTCCTATTTATAAAAAGGAATGAATGTACACACCGTGCACACACACGCAGGCAAAAAGTCTTGAGGTTTTGCTTATTGCTCTTACACAAGGCTGTGAGCAGGCAAATGTCTGGATCAGAAATTAGGTCAAACATGCATTTCAGCAGGCACAAGAAGTACAGGAAATTCATATTAATGAAACAGTGTACTGTGTTACGTAGTACAGGATGGTATTCTGCTAATATAGTACTTACGTCATTAATACCGGATAAACTCCAGGTCTGCCCGTTGTATAATGTGTTATGCAGTGTGGTATTTTAACCTAATTTCTGATTTTCTTTCATTCTGCACCCTCCATATAGGGATGAAGAGGGCAGTTTTCAAGACAGCCATTCTTTGCAATGCCAGAGCTTCAGCTGGGCAGGTACAGCTGGGAGGAGGTAAAGTTACCAGCACTGTATTGCCAGAAACTGCTCTTTGACTGCCTCACATTTTTGTGCCCCCATCAACAACTCAGATAAACAAATCCAGATGGTGGTGCAAAACGCATCAGCACTGGTTTTCGAGCATCTTTCACCTATGCCATATGCTCCTGGTACAGCCAGCAATTGCTACAGGGCCTAAGGCAGTAGAAGGTCAAGTCGTGTATCTGGTCACTTCCTCAAGAGTCTTATAAAGGCAGATTTTTTGTGAACTGGCTTTCCTTTACACAGTAAGCGGCATAGCATGGATGGCAGTAGAAATCTGGCTACCTACTGGCAACAAACAACTAGTACATTCACAAGACGCATTTGGGAATACCTGCTGTTCCCTACTGAAACCGAATGGAACATGCTGCAGAGAGGTGTCCATGTAATTACAATACTCACAAGCCAAGTTCAAGGCATACTGCACATGGGCCTTGCACGGAAAAGGCATTGAATGTGTTATCTGAAGACTTTTTTATTTTTTTCCTGTGCTATGCATACATATGACAGTAGATAAAAATCAGCACAATGATGCTACTCCATACATGGCCAAACAGACACCGTAACAACTAAGCACCATATATTCTATTCTTCAGTTAACAGGAATCAAGGAAGAACATGGTGGACTAGGTACAGGGAGGGGAAGAAATCCAGCATGAAGTTAGAGGTATGTTCCTGATAGAAGTCCTTGCTGAGAATGTTTGTTGTGAACCAGCAACTGGATTTTGCGACACAACCAGAAAACCCAGGACGTCTATGGGGCCAACTTGGGCACTGCATAGTCAAAACTATGTTATAATATGGCATTGAGCAATCTCTAATTATCAGAAAGAGCAGTAGGTGGACAACAAGAGGACAAGATTCAAAAAGCAGTGCAAATCAACAGAATTTTCTGTCTTATTAAAGGTCTGTCATGTGCCCCTTGACCCAATCCCTAAATCTCACATAAATTTCAGCTTTCAGACTTGCCAAATATCCAAATTCACACTGAACTCTATTTTACTTATGAGCAGTACTACTAAAGCTAGTGGGACTGCTTAGAGCAAGGAGCTACTGCAGTGGATGTTCAGGAATTTGGCTCTTTCCAAGAAGTGAACTGCAAATGACAGGTTTCATGACACCGACAGGTGGAGGGAGACCCTGTGGTTTTTTTCAAATCTGTCCTTATAAACATCAACATTTTTAAGACTGAAATGTGGGAAGACGCTCTGTTCTGCTCACCCAGACATTCTGATACCAGGACAGACACAAGGGTTTAGCAGGGGTAGCCCACCCAGTAGAAGGTTAGGCTGGTCTGGGTTCTCCTCCCATATATGTCACTGCCTCTTATTAGATGATTGTAGGTAAGGGTCCCTGGTCTCAGTTTGGATGGTGAAGCTCCCTTAGAGCAACTCCTCTGTCACACCATTCATGGGTGCACAGTTGCATCTCCTAGGAAAGAGGAAGGCAAAATAGGTCTAAATTCTTCAAAAACAGTTAAGAAAACCCAACCTCTAGAAAAAGAAAATAAAGAACTATATGTTATAACATCCTTGCAAGACTTCTCATGATGCATTTCTTCACTAATGGCTACTGAGGACAGGGCACTGGGAAGTCTGCTGCCATACTGGACATAGAACAGCATGTCCAGTGTTCACCATGCAAAGCCATCCTTCGCGTGAAGCCCGTTAGGCAGAACTGTTCTGGCTCCATTTTTAGGTAATTCTCCTAGCCTACTTTACTTCCCTTCTTGAAAGCTCCTTCAAATAAAGATGCTGGAAGTGCCATTACCCTGTAGTCGAAAAATGTGAGGAAAAAAAGAGAGGCAAGAAACAGACACCAAGGAAGGAAATGATTGCTTGCAAACTGCTTCCTTTTAAAAACCATTGTACAACTCCCTAACTTGGTTTAATTAATGCGTAGTTTAAAACATAGAAAATGCCTTACCAGCTAAACAATTTCTTGGTTTTACAAGTCTCCCTCCCTCCCCCCATTAAAAAGTAATGCATGTGTGGACTGGTATTGAACACCTCATAGAGTCGCGCGCCAGTTCTCACTTAATCCTACATGGAGCAGTTTTGATTTTAATCTACTGTGTTTAAAGAACAGCCTATACTGTATACTTCACAGTATAACCAGCTACATAGATGTCTTTAATCTTGTAACACGATACAAAAGATCACTGTCAGTCGCAGTCCCTTAGATAAATGATTACGGTGACGCATGCAGTCCTCCTCAGTGCCACTGCCACCAGACACGGGACGTGGTTTTCTCCGCAGGCTGCTGAGAGACCCGATGCCACACCGCCGGGGGCTGGTGCACACTGCCCCCGTGCACAGCGTTCTGCAGTCATTGGGGAAAGCTGCGCTGAATTGTCTCGCTCAATACCACCACCACCGACCCGACCCAACCCCCAGGGGAGTGCAGCCCCCTGCCCATCTCAGCCGCAGGAGATCACCGTGAAGCGCTTGGAAATGCATGACATGTTGTGGAGGACGATGCCCAGGAGAAAGACCAGGACACAGGCCACCAGGATCACAGTGCACACCCCTGACCAGGTAGAGCTTTTCACAGCACCTCTCCGGTCGGGCTCCTCCGCTCCCCCCTCGGCAGGGAGACCACCCTGCAGCGGCCGGGGGGCGCCGGCGGCCGTGGCAAAAAGGTTTTTTTGCGGCCTCGCGGGGGGGGGGCGCCAGCCAATATCTCCCGGCCCGGCTGCCCTCTCCTTGGAGAGGGGCAAGGGCAGCATGTAGCACCCATTGCTGGGGAGTTTGATGAAGACGGGGGTGTGCTCTGAGGTGTGAGGGATGGCGATGACAGCGATCACCTCGGGGTCATCGGGCAGCTGTGACACGGAGTACCCCGGAGGCAGCTTGGTGATCCCGCGGCACCAGGGGCAGCGCAGGTCCTTCTGGTGCCCTCTCCTTGGAGAGGGGCAAGGGCAGCATGTAGCACCCATTGCTGGGGAGTTTGATGAAGACGGGGGTGTGCTCTGAGGTGTGAGGGATGGCGATGACAGCGATCACCTCGGGGTCATCGGGCAGCTGTGACACGGAGTACCCCGGAGGCAGCTTGGTGATCCCGCGGCACCAGGGGCAGCGCAGGTCCTTCTGG